CTATAAGAAATGATGAGCAGGTGGATTGCAGAAAAACCTGGAAAGACTTACATGAACTGAGACCGAGTGAAGTGAGCAGAACCAGGAGAACAATGTGCAGAGTAAAGCCACATTGTGTGATGATCAATAATGAATAAAAGCTCTTCTCAGCAATGCAATGATTAAACACAATTCCACAGGACTTGTGATAGAAAATGCTCTCCACATCCAGAGAAAGAACTAATGGAATCTGAATGCAGATGGAAGCACACTATTTTCACTTTATTTTTTTGGTTTTTTTTTCCTTTTGGTCTGTTTCTTCTCTGGCAACGTGATTGCATGTATATAACCTAAATCAAATTATCTACCGTTTTAGGGAGGGGGAGGAAAGGGAGGGAGGGAGAAAATTTGGAACTCACAAATTTTTAAAATGAATGTTAAAATTGCTTTTACATGTAATTGGAAAAAAAATAAAATACTACTTTAAAAAAAGACAGAGGACAGTAAAGGGCAATGTAGTCAAGACTGACAAAACCCCAAAACAAAACAGCCTCATATTTGAGGATTTTAAATAGCTCAACTGGATCTGTCACCTCCACCAGCCTTGTGTTAGCAGTGTTCCTAGGCCCCACTTGACTCATTCTCCAGGACATCTGCTTCTAGAGCAGTCAGTACAGTATTGTGGCTATGTGAAGATCTTTCTTGTATAGTTCTTTTGCATTCTCGCTACCTCTTCTTAAGTTGTTCTACTTCTGTTAAATCTCTGCCATTTTTGTGTTTTATCTGCCCATTTTTGTATGAAATGTTCCCTTGATAGCTCTAATTTTCTTGAGGAGATCTCTTGGCTTTCCCATTCTATTGTTTTCTTCTATTTCTTTGCATTGCTCATTTAAGAAAACTCTCATCCCTCCTTGCTATTCTCTGGAATTCTGCATTCACTTGGGTATATCTTTCCCTTTCCCTTTCCTTCTTTCCCCAGCCATTTGTAAAGCCCCATCAGACACCATTTTGCTTTCTTACTCTTCTTTTTATTTGGAATGCTTTTTTTTTTTTCCGGTGGCTGCCTCCTGTACAGTACTGAGAACCTCTGTCCATGGTTCTTCAGGCTCTCTGTCTACCAGATTTAATCCCTTAAATCTATTCATCACCTCCACTTCATAAGGGATGTTATTTAGGCCATAGCTTTATCATCTGATGATTTTTCCCTAATTTTTTTAAAGTCTGAATTTTGCAACAAGAAGCTCATGATCTGAGCCACAGTCAGCTCCAGGTTTAGTTTTGTTTTTGCTAGGCAATGGGCTTAAATGACTTGCCCAGGGTCACACAGCTAGTAAGTGTCAAGTGTCTGAGGTCGGATTTGAACTCAGGTCCTCCTGACTCCAGGGCCGGTGCTCTATCCACTTCGCCACCTAGCTGCCCCTCCAGGTAATGTTTTAACTGACCATATAGAGCTTCTCCACCTTTGGCTGCCAAATATATAATCTTTCTATATTGACCATCTAGTGATGTCCATGTTCTTTGGCTTGTTGAAAGTTATCTCGACAAAACTCTTAGTGTCTGCCTGCTTCGTTTTCTACTCCAAGGTCAAACTTGCCTTTCACTCCAATTATGCTTTTAGTTGCTACGTGAGCATTCCAATCCCCTATAATGAATGTGACATTTTTTGGGTGCTATTTCTTGAGGATGTTACAGGTCTACAGGTTATAGAACTGATGGACTTTGGCCTCTTCCGCACCAGTGGTTGAAGCATAGACTTGTATTACTGTGATGTTGAATGATTTACCTTGGATTTGAACAGACATCATTCGGTCATTTTTGAGATCATACCCCAACACTGCTTTTCTCACCCTTTTATTGACTGAGGTCTCCTCCATTTCTTCTAAGGGATTTTTGCCCACGGTAGTAGATGGAGTGATCACCTGGATTGAACTCACCCATTTCCATCCATTTAACTTCACTGACACCCAGGCTGTCACACCAGACTTTGCTTTTGTCACCAGGTACATCTGCAGCTGAGCTTCCTTTCAGCTCTGGGCCAGCTGCCTCATTGCTTCTGGAGCTACATGTGGCTGTTCTCTGCTCTTCCGCAGTAGCACGTTGGATACCTTCTGGCCCGAGGGGCTCATCTTTGGGTGTCATGTCTTTTATCATTTGTCTTATCCGTGGGGTTCTCTTGGCAAAGACACTGGAGGGGTTTGCCATTTCATTCACTGAGGGAGGGAGGGACACTTCTCAAAATTAAACATGTTGGACCCAATAGAACGAGGGCAACTGCTCCCTCTGGCTGGGGCCTGAACCCCCTCCCCCAGCTGCACTTGGCTCATCGCTTGGATACCAAAGCACCTTGGCAGGTGTTTTTGTTTCTCCCAATGACCCCCCAGCAGCAAGACGAGACTCCAGGGCAGAAAGGTTCCTTCTAAGAGTTAGGGCCCTGTACAAGGCAACACAGCATGGTGGGAAGAGCCCTGGGTTCTAATCTTGTCTGTACACCGACTCTATATCCTAAACTATAAAGTGGGAGGGTTAGAACAGACAGTCCAGGAGGTCCCCAGGGTTCTCTCAAAGAGAAGGGTCAAGTCTGGATTTTCTCAGATCATTTGTTAGCAGGAGACAGCTAGTATTTGGCAGAAATGGGAGCCTGGGAAACAGCTGGGCTCCCTCCAGCTCTGCTTGGGTTGGGCAGGACCTGCCTCTGCTGATTTCTTGCCCATTTTCTCAGGTGCCAGGCTGTTCTGTGGGTGTACTTGGCTGGGCCAGGAATCACTTACCACTCAGGCTCCATTAGGGATGGACAACTTCCTTATCTTAAGAACTCAGCCTCCTGGGGCCTCAGGATTTGTGCCTGGCCCAGGTCAATAACAATTCCTGAGGTGTACAGGTGTGCCATGAACCTGTTGATGAATGAGGAGATTTAGCTCCCCTCCCCAAGATTGCATAACCCTGGGGCCCTGTTCTCACACCCTCATAAAAAGCCAGGGAGCAGCTTTCAGGTCACAGCAAAGTGGATAATCCTTGGTCTAGTGGGGAAGTGGGGTTGATTGGGGCTGGGAGTGGGCAAGTAGGAGAGTCCCATGAGGAGAACAGCCTCCCCCAAGCCTGCCAGCATGCCTCCAGACAGGCTGGCAACTGGTCCTGTCCCCAGGCAATCCTTGGACAGAGGATAGTGAGACCCAGGGCAGGAAGAATTTCCAGAATGTTTGTCTTCAATAGAAGCTGAGTCCAAGGAAGTTGTGGAGGAGATGTCCTGGTGGTGTGGGTGGGGCCTGAGGTCCTGGACAGACTCATCAGTGAATGGGCAAGCTTATGTTGGGCACCCCCAGGCTGGACTCTGGAGATGCAGACATGGGGAAGCAGGGCCAGAAAAGGCATTGATTGGCTCAGGCCAGCACAGCTGGCCCATGTCTGAATGGAGATTCAAAGCCAGGCTTTTGAGTCCATGTGAGAAGGCCAGGCAGGAGAAAGCCTCTTCTCTCCCCAAGGCAGAGTATCTGCCTCGTCCGTCCCCTTTGAATGAGGCCCAGCTCCCCTTCCACACCCCTCTCGCCTAGCCCAGTGTCTGGCACACAGGAGGCCCATCCTGCATCCTGGCATGGCTATGATCTTGTGTTCACTTTGTGTGGACCCATATGTATACATGCCGCCCTCCAAGATGGCGCCATCCTGCAGATGGACTGGTTCATGTCCGTCTTCTTCTTCCCCTAGTGTCTAGCCCAGCATCTGGAGCTTAAATGAATGCTTCAAGTGCTGGGGGTGAGAGACTCAGCCAGACCAGGCTAGAGGGTCAGCATCAGGCTGGCCTTAACCATAGCTACTCCAGAGGCTGCTGACTAGGCTTAGGAAGGCAAAGCAGAGCGGGACATGTGCCAGTGAAGAGTCATGTCCTAGAGCCCTCCCTGGGCAGGCTTTGGGAGCTGCCTCCTAGCACTGGGAGGGATGGGACTGGTGAAAATGCTGTTTACAACTCATACTGGCTGGTTTGGCAGTGACCCATTGTGTCTTGTGGGTAGTGTGTGTGTGTGTGTGTGTGTGTGTGTGTGTGTGTGTGTGTGTGTGGTGGGGTGGGGTGGAGCTGGCAGCCAGTGTCTCCAAAGCATCCAGAGGCTGCTTGGGAGATGGATGAGATCTAGAAAGTCAGCTTTGAGGGAGAGCAGAGGGGAACAGCAGAGATATTGGGAGAAGGGAAAGGAAAGGAGGGGCAAGGGAGGAACATAGGTGGGGTCGGGATGATGACGCCATCCACTTGGGGTGCCAAGTCTGGGAATGTCAGGCTCCATTTTTTGGATGCTTAATTACATGGGTAATATTTTCTTGAGCCAAACATCCTCTCCTCTCCTCTCCCTTCCCCTCCCCTCCCCTCTCCTCCTTATCCCCTTCCCTACCCTTCCCTTTCCTCCTCTCCTCTCTCTCCTCCCCCCCCCATTCCAGCCAGCTGACCTGAGACTCTCCCATCTGGGAAATTCTATGCTTTAGGACCATCGGGGGACTGGAATGCCAAGGACTCTGCATCCCAGAAAGCTCCCTCGAGGTGAGGCCACAACAGGAGTCTACTGTCCAGCATGAGGGAGGTAACAGACCTGCCCCCTCCCTTGCTCGGATCACATTTCAGAGGACTGAAGTCAGTTCTAGGCACTGCATTTTAGGAAGGACATTGACAAGGGGGAGCATGTGTGACAGAGGAGGGCAACCCACCAGGAATGGGAGAGTCTGCGAAAGGATGGAGGGATGCTCAGGCTGGAAAAGAGAAGGTGAGGGGCAGAGGCTGTTGCCTGGAGCGGGGCTGAGAGCCCCAGGGGGAGGATCCAGGAGCAGCCAGAATGGGGGAAGCTGCAGGGCCAGTTCTGGCTTTGATACCAGTAATAACATCCCAGGAGCGAGGGCTGCTCCAAAGAGGCCCAGGCTGCCTTAGGAGGCCCTGGAAGGCCCTTCCAGGGGGGTCCAGGACTTCTGCCAATGGCTCTAAACTAGAGCCAACACCCCATCTCCTGGCCCCTTTAGCCCCCAGCATCAGACTCTCTCAAGGCTTCGGTGGGGCACGTCTTTTATTGCTCAGATGCGTTCCCCTCGATGGCCCGCGGCCTCAGTGACCTGGCTCCTTAGCACGGGGAGGGTATGGCTAGAGCTCGCAGTACAAAGCTCGGTGGAAGACCGTGCCTATCAGCAGCTTCCCTTTGAAAACCGAGGCCACGGTGCTGCCCTGCAGGACGGAGCCGTCTTCTGCGTAAACCCGGGTCACCGTCGGCTTGGAGGAGAGAATGTTCTGGATGCGGAGCACCTGCGGCAGAGGGGAAATGACGTTCTAGACTTCAGCCGCGCCTCAGCTGAGCCCCTTCCCCTAGCCCTGAGAACCCTGGCCGGGTTCCTTGTAGTCCCTGGCAGCCCCAAGACTGACCCTGGAAGGCTTTCCTGATTCTCAGTGAAGGGCCCCGTGGCCTCACCCACTGTGGCTCCTAGGCACCGAGAAGCAGGTGTTCCCCTACCCCCAGAGGAATGCGGCTCAGTGTCTCCAGTCTACGCCTCTGGGCTGCATCCTGGCCGTGACCGAGTGACCGAGTGACCGTGTGTGGACAAGCTCAGGAGCAAGCCCAGACTTGCTGAGAAAGCTAGCGTCCCCCAGGCCTGGCTCTGCTACTTAGCACCTGTGACTTCCTGTTGGGTGCCTCAGTTTCCTCGTGTAAAACCAGGGGGTTGGCCCAGATGACCTCTCAGGCTCCTCAGATTGGGATCAACTCTGAACACTGGTCAGACCTCATGAAGAAGAAAGCCAACTAGGAAGTCACTAGCACACCTCCCAGGTTTAGGAGGCTGGGCCTCCTTCCGCCACGGTGTGGCTCTTTAGGACCCTCGGATCTCAGTTATCCAGCTGAGTCGTATCTAGAGCAAGTTCTAAGAAAGAGACAGGAGGGCCTCGGGAAAACAGGAAATTAAGACGAGTCAGCTGCGGCTGGTTGTAAGCATTCGGCAGTTCTCCCCGCCCCCCCCCCCCCCAGCCGTGTCCAGGCTACCACCCGAACCTGGCAGGATGGTTCATGTGGGGCCCTTTTAGAGCAGCCTCCAGGGCCCTGCCGGCAACTGGAGCTGGTTAGAACATCCCGATGTGTCGATGGGAAACACTGAGAGTGGCTTCCACTCTGGGCCCCGGGGTGCAGCCTAACAGGTGCACAAGTGACTAGAGATGGAGTCCAGGCATGGTATTCTCAGCATCCTGTAGCAAACCCACTCACGGGGCATTGTCCAACGCTCTGCCTAAGGAAGCTCTCCCGTCTATCCCTGTCCATCTCTCTCCCTCTCCCCACTTTTCTCTGTCTCTCTTCCTCCCTC